ACCCAAAGTGCAAATTGCTGAGGTGATTTGCCCCAAAGTGACACATCCACCCAGCAATCAAAGTGAAAAATCCTCAAGGATTTAGCCAAAGTCAGAAGCTCCATTAAATGGGCCACTGCTCTCAAGGTATAAAACAAATACTTAAGTGAATTACACAATATTAATCTTCTATGTTTCTATGCCATTAAACTCAGCTTCGATGTTGCCCAATAAATACAGACTTATAAAGGAAAGTGTGTTTTATCCAGGTTAGAAGAGAGGAACTGAATTCTGATCTCATCAGAATTGATTTGTTTTGATACCAGTAAAGCTATGCTTGATTTATATTTTAAATATGCATTTAAATGTTTGAAACTTAGTCCCAGGATGGAGCATTAGGGACCATCTGACACTATTGCTGGTTCACTATCTGAACACAGGCAAAGACCTCATCTTCAGCGCTCTTTGTTTCTCACTTACTTTACTTCTCCTCATGCATAGCTAATAATATTTTGTCTTTACAATTGGCTGTTTAAAATTATTGGTATTATTAAAATTTATTACTCTAATTAGAATCTGATCCTGGATACTGCTGTTAAGAAAGAGGTTTCCCAATAATTTCTGTAGAAAAAATGGAAACAGATGAGTTTCTTTATTTCATTTTCTTCCTGATTTTAGGTGACAAGTAGTTATTTAAAAAACAAAACAAAACAAAAACAAACACACACAAAAACATCCTCTGGCCTCAAACACTCTGTAGCTATACCCCATGATAAATCTAGTGGTATTTCAGCTTGTAGTATGACCTTAATTTCTTTCTTGCAAATCTCAAAGAAGCTATTGTGAATTAAAGTCAAGTTGACACAAAATAAGGCAGTCAAAGAAACGGAACATGAATTTGGATCCAAGTGAAAGTCCTTTCACATGGCACGGGAATCCAGCATTATGCTGGTTCCCTCTACTTACTAAAGAAACTCTAACTACTTGCAAAAGAACATGTAAGTCCATTTCAGGAGTAAGCAAAACCAATTAGTCTTTAAAGGACTTTATAACTGCCTGAAAATCTGAAACAGGTTAACAAGTGCGTTATCATGGAGTTCCTTACTAATGTTCAGCTGAGATGTGGTAACAAAAACTGAGTTGGTGGCTGTGCAAATAAGTCAAATGTGGCTTAGAAATGGATTACAGTGTGGCACGAATGAACTTGAGGTAAACCACACTGCTTCATGACTGCACAGGCAATCAGTAAGGGAAAACACAAGATCGGCATGAACGATTCAGTGGGGAAGAGTGCATGGATACAAAATGGACTTCAGTCCATTATCAGCGAACTGGCTGGAAAGGGATGTAGTTTCATGTCATTTGAGCAGTTTCAGATATATGATCAAAGACAACTCTTTTTGTAGATCAGGGTTTTATTCTTTCCCGCACTATATATTTTGTTCTAGAAAAATACATTTGAAAAAAAAATAAAAATATGGAAAAACAAGATGTGCCAGCTCAGTATTCTGGCAGACTAAATCACTGAACTCAATGTTCTGATATTCTGCAATGACAGATACTATTGTTCCAGTGAACTGAGGCCATAGCAGAGGGATTGGAATTAGATGATCATAAAGGTCCCTCTGAACCCAGGCCGCTCTGTGATTCTATACAGTCTTCTACAATGGAGTAAGTAACTATTTTTAATATTGTTCTTTCGTAGCATTTCTGTCCAAAATTTACATTCCCATACCACACAGTATTTGAGTGTTAAAATAGAGCTGCTTATACCATTCCAAGATAACCAATGATCCCCAAGAAATTGGTCGTTCATTACTTGCCATTAATATATATTTTGCTTAGCCTCAGGCAAAGCCTCAGGCAGTTTGTGCACTAATAGGCTATTATTAGTTGCCATTAGCGTTGACAACACTAATTTAAATGGGAATGTTGGTATTTCACACAATCTGTTCAATGCTTTCAAAACAACAGAGTATGTTTAAACAGGGATAATGATAGAGTTGGTGTGTCTATGAAGGAAAACATTCCTCAAATAAATTCTCAAATCTGGCTAGTTAGAATACAAGATGAAGTATAGTGACATGAAAAAAAGTGCATCCAAGAGAAAATTTACAACCTTCATTAGCTGCTTGGAGTAAGAAGGCACTGTTAGCTATGTAAGCCAAAAACCAAACAGTAGAATTTTTTGAGCCATTACCTACAATTTCCTAACCGTGTTAAACACTGATATGTTATGCTTATCTTCTTCCACTAGATTTGGGTTCCACTTTACCTCATGTAAATTTCTAAGGTTATTTCTGATCTTTTACACTAGAATACAAGTTCTCAGAGTAACAGGCAGTAAATGGAGTAGGCACATACCCAGAACACTGACACAAAGGGTTCACCAGAGGTTCACTGAAAAAAAAAAATCAGGTCACTTTTACAGCTGCTGAGATAGAGTTCTGAGTTACACCCACTCAACCAACTGCCCTCACAAAGATCTGGGGTTTGAAGTAAAAGGTTGTGCTTTGTCTGTTCACTTGTTCTTCAGAACACAATTGTTCTGTACCACTAAAAATATTTCCATCCAGAATGTTGTAAGTACAAACCCATCAATGTTCCATCCCTGGAATAAGAAAATCTTTCTTTGATAAACTCAAATAGATTAAAAAAAAAAGAAAAAAAGAAAAAAAGCTGAAGGCAGTAGTGCAAAATCAGTGTTTCTTTTTTCTTATCTGGAATAATTTCTACTTATTCAGTCTTCAGGTTATGTCTGCACAATAATAGCAGCACAGAATATGCAAATGACCATTCAATTACCTTATTCTATTAGTTTTAGCACTCAAAGGATACCAGAATTTCAGTCAGTCCATGTTACCTTCTTATACCCTTATCAGATTTGTGAATGAGCAGCTTGTCCCTTTTAAGTTAGTTTGCACTGAACAGTACTGCAGGTACAGATACATCATGTGTCAAGGAACCTCTCTAGAGCTTTGCATGGGTAGGACAAACTCAAGGAATAACTTAACAGAATCACATTTGTAGAAATATATTGGAGTTCTATGTAAAGTAAGGCATTTCCTGAAAACAGGTTTACCTGAGTCTATTGCATTTGACTATTCTGCATTCTACAAAAAAGCTATTATGCATATGCAGCAGAATTTTGTCCACAGATTAAAAAAAAACAAAACAACAACAGCAAAAAATCAACAGATCTTTTCAAAATACAGAGAGTAATAGCACTTAGTTTTCTCAAACAATGCAATAATGGTAAATTACTCATTAATTTTACTCCAGTTTCAAATCAGCCCACCTGGCATTTGGAAAACCCTTCTGCAGCCAGAATTTCTAAATCTATTTTTTTTACAGCACAGTATCACAGAAACAAGAATTTCAAGAAACAAGAATTAATGGCTTGCAATGTACTCAACCATTTCCATACCACAAGTTTCTGGCTGGCATAAAGAAAGTCTGCTTCCGTGGTAGCAACTGACAGGAACAAATGCAGCACTTACAGCTCTCCAATAAAGCTTTTTGCACAAATAACTGCTTAAGAAGAGAAAGATTTGTCACGTGTTATTTCATTTACTAAGAGATTTAAGAATGCCTGTGCTCTAAGAATGCTGAGAGTTACTGAGAGTCAGCCCAGATAGAAAACAGCTGCTCTCTGGGTCAGAACTCTTGACTATGAACCAACCTGTGTAGTACTTCACAATCACCTTCATCTTCAAATTTATCCACATTAACTTTCAAGACTAATTACTCTTACAAATACTCAGCTCCCTAAGAAACACTGACACCCCGTCTGTCTACCCTGTCTGAAGAAAACTTAAGTTCATTTCAGCTCATGGTCTCAATTTCTCTTCCAGCTTAATTTTGCACTTGCTTTCCTCTCTCAGTTTCCTACTTAAAATTTGTATTGAAGCATTTAAAACACGAATCATTTAATTGAATTAATTAAAAACTTGTTATTAAGCTTACAAACACGCAAATATTAAATCTATGTGCAGGACTACTCTGCTATATGCTAGATCATGTAAGAAATGAGTTTAAATTGATTAAATTCATTCCTATTATAAATATAAAAAGGATATTCATGAGTGAATCCTTTTTCATATTGCTGTAGATCCATTAAAATATATCACTGTCAACACTGAAGTGTCATCTGCCACTTTCACTGGTTCCCTGATCTCTTACAATTAAAAAAAAAACAACAACCAAACAAAACCACTTATTGACCACATTTAACTACTAGTGTAGCTAGCATTTGGTTAACTACATTAGCTACAAGAAAATCATAGAGTATCCTGAGTTGCAAGGGACACACAAGGATCAACAAATCCAGCTCCTACATGTATCTGTTAAATGTGCAAACTGAGATATGAGTTAAGCAGATTTTCATTAATTTTGATGCCTTGAGATAATCAGTGGAATTTTTTTCCCCGTTACTCAATTAAATACACATTTTTCATTTCTAAAACATAAGGTAAGCAAATAAGTAAAAGGATCCTGAAGGAGAATGAGTGCTTAAAACAAAGAACAAAGAACTACTAACCGAGAAATTCAACTTCCATGCACAGAATCAAGACCTGACAGAGACCAGCTTGGTCTGCTCTGCTGATAAAGGTACCTGTTCAGATATAGCCTAACTCTCAAGTCTTAAAGCTACACTTAAAAACCAGAAAATACAGGATGGATTGTACACAAAATGTGTGATGTAAATGTACACATAAAGATTTAAGAACCTAATTCATAGTTCACGAAATTAAAATGATGATCTTCCTACTGCATAAAAATAGAGAATACAGGAGAGCAATTGTTCTCTAGAACTACACAGTCTCATTTGTTTTTTGCCTTATTTTTCATCTACACTATAAACACAATTCAAACGTTTTTATCTTGTATATATAGTAGATGATCTAGTAGAGATCTAAGGAAGAAGGAGGAAAAAAGAAAGAGAGGACAATGAAGGAGAATAAGAAAGTTTCAATGAAATAATACTTCTATTCAGTATGTCAGATGTATTTCTTTATTACCATTCTCCCCATCAGACTTCCTCTCATGGTCAGTATCAGTCAGGGACAATGCTGAGTTGGCCCGGCTTGACAGACAGGAGCTGTGTTCTGACTTCATCCCCCTCATCCACATCCTCAGGGCATGATCTGGTGATGCTCCACCTTCGGTTTCAGTATCCACGTCTGAGCCCACCTCTAGTGGGTAGCTGTGCTCTGATACACCATGTAAGTCTGTCTGGTAGCCAGAGCACAGAATATGGGGTGTCTCACAGAATTCCATGTCTGGGGGGTTGAGAAAAAAAAAAAAAAGAAGTGTTTAGAAAAGAATTTGGAAGTTAAAAGCAACATACATTTGATGTTCTTCAAGAGAATCTGCTTTGAGGATTGATATTGTTAACACCATTAGAAAATTTTTTTTGATCAATGACTTACTGCTATCCAATCCAATTTTTTCTAAAGAGTGCTATTTTAAAGTATATAATACAGCACTGTTACAGTGCCTTTTTGTCTGACAGAAATATGAAACTTCAGTTTGCACACCTACGCACTAATAGTAACATATCAATTTACAACTGACCTGAGTTCATATCGAAGACTTAAAAATACAGATACTCTTTTTTTTTTTTTTTTTTGCCTGAAAGATAACAGTTCTAAAATTGATCTCACAAATCAGAACGATGGTTGTTTTTGTCATAAGGACTACAAGTGAATTTGCAAATACAGAATTTACAAAACAATGTCGGAAATATTAGGTTAATCACACACACACACGAAAATAAAAAGACTACTTACCAATGACTTGCTCTTTGAGAGTGCTGTCCTTGCATATTCACACCAGTGGGTTTTGGTACTCCAGTGCTGGTGAACTACAGGAACCTCCTGGAAGAGCAGTGACTACTAGGACTGTACAAGTGCCATCTCATGACACCAAGTGATCAGAGATATTGGAGAGTTGTACAGTGCTCAATACTTCAGTTATTCTTATTAAACACTGCAACTGTAGAGCATCAGAAATCCAAGGAAAAACAGAATGTGGACAGGAACCATAATGTGAATATGCAGAGGAAACATTCTCGAAGAACTACAGGTAAGTAAGACACATTAGCAAATTATAGCTTTCCTTTGAGGTGGCCTCTGCATATTCTCACTTGTGAGAATCCAATTACAAACGCAACTCCCAGGGAGTCAGACAAGGAGTTCTAATTAAATAAGGATTACAGAACTGTACTCCCTAATTGAACATCAGACCTGGGATGCCATCTTCAGAGACTAAATACAGTATCAAACATGCATACAGGATTCTTTCAATTTCTAGAAAAGAAACATTAGAGATGAGGGTCATTGAGAGAGACTGAGGACAAATATTCACTCCTACTGTCATCCTAACGAAAGCCTCAATTTGCTGAACTAATCCACTTACCAGCTGGTGAGAGGAATGGTTATTATTTTAAGCATTTCCTCAAAAATAACAAAAAGCCCTGGTATTTTCTTGAAAGCATTGACCAAAATCTACAAACCAAATGCTAAGCTAAAATAGACAAGTGGCTCAATATTCAAGTCATCGATCTCTGTAAATCAAACCTCTTAGCCAACAAAACATTTCTGAAGGTCTCTGTTGTGGCAACAGCTCATACAAGCTCAGGCAACGGCAACGTGTTTTCTAGAGAGCAGGAAAGTGGGCAGGGGCAGAAAACAGACTGAACTGTCCACAACCTCACTTGAGTTCTGGAAGATCACTCAGGTTCTTTGGTGCTACTGCCCAGGCTGCCCCATCCTACAAGCACTGACTGTGCTGCTCATGCTCCTCTCAAGCCCCAGGGCAACCATACCAAGGCTTACATAGGGGCCCTTTGGAGAGCTCTACCACCTCCCTGATCTCTCCTCACAGGCAGAGGACCTGATCTCGGGTCTGTATTTGTGAAACTGCAAAATGCATCAACTTCACTAGCTCTGCGCTCCAAGTCTCTCAGCTGACTCGAAGTGGACACTGAGGTTTGATGGAGATGGCTAGGAGATAGCAGGAAGCAGCTGCATAGTTTCTGCAGAAGAGGGAATAGCTGGCATTCACTTTATCTGTGTTTACAATGCAGTCTTCCTTCCTGTTGCCTGGAGTCTGTTTAAAATTGCCACTTGGCAGACTGGGAGAAGGAAGAAGGCAAAGTGGTTCCAGTGGTTGCAAATGGAAGCTGAACAGCTGAGGCTGGACTTTGCACTGACTGCTGGTTCTTAAACCTATGCAGATACTGCAAGAGGCCCTACTGGCCTTTCTGAAATAAACTCTCTGTATCCTATGGCTAGAATGGTAAACACAAAACATCCAACCTCCAAAAATCCTTGCTTTTCTGAGGCCTTTAAAGTTCCTTGGACACAGGAGACATAGACGGAGACCATCTCACAGGAAGTTACTGAAGATAAAATACAGCGTTGTTCATATAATGACTTATTTGTACCTCTCATTTTAAATATACACAACTAGTTCCACTTGGTTTAATTACACAGCATTGACCAGATTTTCCTATGACGCAGTCTAGATACTGATGCTGGACACAAACATCACAGCTGTATTGCACTCAGCCTTTACTCTCCTTTTGACAATAGTAAATGAATAAAACTACTTTTATATAAAATACAGTTCCAAATGGTTCATGGTATCTCTTATTTTTTCTTGACAAAGTTCAAGAAAGGACTTGTACATAAACTAAATAAAAAGCCAACAATGGTACTAAATGACTAACCCATTGTCTACTATCAGTGAAATAAAGATGAAAGCACTAAACAGGCTGATACTATTCCACACTGAATAAGGCCTGTTCATTTAAATGGAGGCTGCGGACGCCACTATTTCACCAAACATTTCCCAGTAACAGTGAGGTGACTGAATGCTTCCTTGTAAAATAACTGATTTAAAGTTCTGCTTAAATGAACTGAGCTGCTATAAAATGTGACAAGAGCTCTAGTCCACACCCTGCCCTCTTGCTGTGAAAGGAAGGCGAATGCTAAATCTTGCTGGCCAACAGTAGACAACTAGCAATGAGGCAGCTTGTGACAATTCCGACAATTAGCACATGTATTAACAGATGACATAAAAATACTATGAAAATAAAAAATATTTTATAAAAATAAAAATAAAAATAAAGTACTGGCATTTCAAGAAATATGCTATCAAAGAAAACTAAGATTTATCTGCTAAAACCATATAAAATCCAAGGAAAGTAAATTAGACAAATAAATTGGATAGCTGCATTAAAAAAGACTAGCAGTTCTGTAATGCTTCTCATCTACCCTGATGAGAGCGTATTTCCAAAGGATGAGAGTTTATCGATTTACATCAAGAAAAAATTATGGAAATGACACTTATCACCTCATGAAACAAGAGTCAACAGACTTAATTACCAGTCTTCATATTCACCTAGATTTTGATCAAGGCTACAGAAATAACCTCTGCTAAGTCCGTCCCGTAACACTTGCTGCAATTCTGTCAAAAACCAGTTTTACTTTCTTTTTTGAATTTAGACTTCTATAAGATACTGCAGCAATGCAGTGATCTTAGATTATGCCTCTCTTTGTCAACTGAACAACAATTTCAAGAAGCATCTCCTTCCCTTTAAAGCCAGTATCTCCTTATTTTTAGCAACTAAGAAACTTTCCTGTAATAATAAATACTCTGGCAATTTCAGGAGCCGTGTCAGCTGATGTCAGCCCCCCGGGAGCTAAGATGCAGGCACTTCCCTCTGCGGATGTCCACCACAGGCAGACTGTCTGCCCCCAGCAGCCTGCAGCCCACAGCTTTTCCGTTTGCAATTGCATATGCCAAGGGCAAAATTCATCCCAGTAAATCTCACAAATGCTAATTAGATTACACATGTTTAAGAAGCATAGAATTTAACCTTCAGTCTAGAAGTTAATTCAAAATGTAGCAGCTAACAAATTCAATATTTCAGCTATTTTTTTCTCTGGCAGAGTAAAATAAATCGATTTTTTAATACTATAACTCACAGCCAACCAAATCCAAACTCAATATATTGCATGAATAGCCTATTCCTTAAGTATACAAACCTTTGTAGTATTTCAGCTCTCGTGGGATGCATTTTCTGAAAAGCACTTAGCGTGCCAAAATTGTCTGGTTTGGCTTGCACGTCTAACCTTGTTACCTAAAATACTACACATTTCCACAAGGAGATAAAGTTCAAGTGGATTTATGTTAGACACAGTCTAACCAAAGAGACACAGTCACAAAAGAAATGAGGGAACGTTAATATGAAATTCAAGTTCTTGCATGAACTGCGTACAGAGGAAAAAAGGCTGCTATTATAAACTTATACAGAAGATCATGATAGGATTTTCACATAAGAAGCTTTGTGGAGTTCATTTTAAGTGAGCTTTTAAAAAACAAATATTTAATCTTCCGCTTTTGTAAAAAAAAAAAAAAAAAAAAAAAATTGATATTAAACTAACACAAAGAAATGCAAATTATTTTATGAACAGGAATTGGAAAGGAGGCTGGTTGCATTAAAAATAATAGTTTCAGTTAACTCATTCCTTTCTTTTACTTTCTGCAACTTAATTTTCATGAAAAATAAAATCTTCACAGAGGATCAGCTAAACACATCTTTGTGCACACTGAACAATATTGTTTGCTCTTCTGTAAGACGTTCAAGCTGACACAGGAATGATGGAGTTCAGTAGTAGCCAGCTCTAACACTGCTCTTGGCAATGTAGAACTGCTGAGAACTTTTGCCTTCTCTTTCCAGATACACACGCCAAGTTCTGAGGATCTTACTACAGCTTTAATTTAACCACCAGGACAGTTAATAACTTAGTTAGGTTTACACGTGTATGTACAGCCTTTATCACAATGCATCTTCAGTACTATCTCATCCTCCTTTGGATGGCAGTAACTCATGTTTACTCACGTAGTAACAATGGAACAAAGTCCCACTGCTCAGCATTTCTGTAAATTTTAGTGGACCTTCAGGACTTGTGGAATTTCCACAGTGTTTCCATTTGCCAAGAAGTTTGCTAATAAACAGACATTAAGCAAAATAAACAACTGTCCACAGGAACACATAATGAAGTCATTTGGACTTACATATTTCAAAGGTCTCTGAATTCATTTGAGTCACAATCTCTATTTTTTTTTCCTAATTCTTACTCTAGCATTCTTGTTCTGAGGAAAGTTTCACCCAAGTACACAACCACTCAATTCTCCACATGGAATTCCACAGAGGATCATAGAGCTGTCTGAATTGGAAGGGACCTTTAAAGGCCATCCAGTCCAACTC